CCCAAACACCAAGCGCCTCGGTGTACAGTGCAGCCCTGTCCACCGCCAATAACTCCGCCAGCAAATCTTCCTGATCCGCATCAGTCACAGCACAAAGTCGTTTACCCTCAACACGAATCCCCAGAATGACCTCGACGTCATGTAACATGATCGTCATCTCACCGAATGGAAGGTGGAAAAAGTTTGTATCCGACTGCCATCGCTCAACGAAAGCCGTGATCAGCGTAGTGTCAATCTTATCGTGCATGGTGGCAAGAACGTGATTCACCCCAGTGCACTCCAGTCGCTCGAACATCTCGCTCTCCACCGGCCAAGCCTCAGCCCATGTACACAAAAAGCTACAAGTCTTTTCCCGGGTATGACATTTCAACAAGCCCGTAACTGAAGGCCTCTCCTGGTCCTCCCAAATACGGGTAGCTATGTGTCCTAGAAAGCTAGGAATCACACTCCCGTCTACAGGCCCACCGGGCACCTCACTCCTAACAACCCAAGAATCATTAACGGCCCTCGACCGTTTCCTGCTTGCCCCAGACACAGTGGACGCAGATGATGTGCCAGATCTACTAACAAACCTACCACCCCTACCCTTACGCACCTCTACCATATGTGTCTCGTACATGTCATCAACCATCTGACTAAATGGACCGTAATCATCATACGGTCCGCTCCTATTGTCCACATCCTCATCCTCATATGCGTCCTCCTCCTGCTCCTTCTGGTCACCCTCCTCAACATCATCATCGTCATCCTCATCTCGACGGTGGATCCGTTCTCTACGAGCTGAGGCCAAAATACCACGGGATATTACATGTCTATGCCCCGACCTCTCCACTAAATAGCTTCTACTAAGTAGCCAGTGGGCAGGCGCCTGAACTGGACGCCCACCCATAGGCAGAGGCGCCAGCTCTGGCAGCCAGAGCCTATGGCCTGGCGTCTGGTTTGGACGCCTCTCCGGTGGTTGGGCTTCCAAGCCAGACGCCACGCCACCGGCTTTGGCTGCCGGAGCTGGCGCCCCACCTTCGCCCCTTATTTTATTTTATTTTTTTTTTAAAAAAATATTTAAATAATTACCTTGTCACCAGGTCGCCGCCTTTCCTCCGCCGCCGACGCCACCACCTCTTTTCCTTGCCGCCTTGACATTGTCGTAAATAATTTTTTTTTAGAGAGGTAGATTTTCTGATTTTTTTAGAGAGATGTAGAGAGTGGTTTTTTTTTAAAAACAAAAAGGGCAATAAAGTCACTTCAATACAAATTTGTGGGCTTTATATGGAGATTTGCGGGCGATGTTTAGCGATTCACTGATCATCGTAAATAATTTGAAACTGAGGTAGTATTCAATTAGGAGATACCAGCATACATTCATATTCAACCCAGAATTCATTCACACTATACATGAAGATCGAAACTCCGTTTTCCCTCTCAAAAACCAAATTTGCAGCCCTATTTTTACACAAATCCAGTTTTTACTACTAAAATTTTAGCAAATTCGCCATTATAATGGCTTTCTCTCGCATCTTATCCCGCCATTTAGCAACATTCACAAAGCTCATTTCTTCATCACCCCAATTTACAAATCTCACTACTACTCCCCTCAAAAACCCAGTTTTTTCATCTGTTTTTACACCCATTCATCCAATTCTTCTGATAAATGCAAATTCAGAGTTATTTTACAGTTTCATGGGTCTTCAATGAATACCCAAGTTACGGTGAAAGCGAAAACAGAGGAAGAAATCATTTCAACACAATTAACCCCTGAAATTATCATAGATTCTGAGAAAATTTGCAAAATTTTGTTGAACTTACCAAAAGATTCTAGCATTGAATCTACATTAGGAAAATGTGGGGTTGAAGAAATGACACCCATTTTAGTTTTAGAGGTTTTGAAGAAGATAAGTAATGCAGGTGTTCTTGCTTTAAGGTTTTTCAGGTGGGTGGAAAATCAGAAGGGATTTAAACACACAAATGATTGTTATAATGCTTTGATTGATTCATTGGGTAAAGTTAAACAGTTTAAAATGATTTGGGCTTTGGTTGATTCTATGAAAAGAAAAGGGGTTTTGACAAAATATACATTTAACCTAATTATTAGAAGATATGCTAGGGCAAGAAAGGTTGAATATGCTGTTAATACGTTTGAGGAGATGGAAAAGTTTGGAATGACGATTGATTCGTCGGATTTCAATAAATTTCTCGATACATTGTGTAAATCTCGACAAGTTAAGGACGCACACAAAGTGTTCGATGAAATGAAAAAGAGAAGGTTTACGCCGGATAAGAAATCCTATACAATATTGTTGGAAGGTTGGGGTCAACAGCAGAATTTTCTGAAATTAGATGGAAGTTTATAGAGAAAGAGGAAGGGTTTGAGCTTGATGTTGTGGCTTATGAACGCGTACTGCAAAGCGAGGAAAGTGAGTCTAGCAGTGGAGAAGCTTCAAGAGATGGAAGCAAAGGGTATTGAGCCTAGTGGGCATATCTATTGTATTTTGATCAATGGGTTAGGGTCGGAGAGGAAACTCGGTGAAGCTTTGAAGATGTTTGAGATGTCGAAAGCTAATGGTGTTGCTCAAGCACCCACTTATAATGCAGTGGTTTGGTCATATTGTTGGTCATTGAAATTTGATGAAGCATTTCGAATGGTTGAAGAAATGAGGAGATGTAAGGTTGGTTTAAATTCTAGAACATATGACATAGTTATTCATCACTTAGGGAAGGCTGGAAAACACGAGGAGGCGTATTCGGTCTTCCTAAAGATGAGCAATGATCAAGGTTGTGATCCTTCAACATGCACGTATGGTATTATAATGAGAATGTTCTGCAGCAAAGGTGAACTAGATAAGGCAGTGAAGATTTGGAATGAGATGAAGGCTAAGGGGCTTATTCCGGCAATGCATATGTTTGCTACAATGATTAGCAGCTTCCGGCAAGCAAATAAGCTGGAAGATGCGTGCAAATATTTTGATGAAATGATGGATCTCGGCATTCGGCCTCCTGCTATGGTTTACAGCAAACTCAAACAGGCTCTGCTTGATGAGGGAAAGAAAGATACTGCTCAAAGTTTGACTGTGAAGTTTAATGCATTAAGATTCGCTCCTAATCCTATGAAAAGACAACCTAAATCGGCTAAATGATTACAATTCAATTCAGAATTATGAAGAATTAGTTCATCTGCCTCATAGTTCGGGATGCAATCCAAGTCAGCCTTACTCGACAGCTTAATCAGTGCTCCATGCTTTTTCAATTTTTCAGGTCTTAAACCTTACTTCTTGGTGACTTACTGTATCGATTAAGCTCTTTTTTTTTTCCCCTTAATCTGTGATGGAAATACTTTAAAAATAGGATGATGGACTAAATGTACCTCTCGATTCTGGTGTCCATTGTCTGTTGCCTAACCACTGTTTGTAAAGACTGATTCGGGTTTTGGTAATTCATAGAATTAACTTTAAACTTTCTGGTTACATGTTCCATTTAATGCCTACTAAAACGAAGTTACAATTTTATTACACAACAAAACTAGTGTTACTTCCTAGTTCTTTATTAGCAGCTTCAGCTGTCATAATCTAACATGATCCATAATAGCTAATAAGAATACTCGGTTGGAAACACCGTGCTTAATTTTTCTCTGGTCCTTTTCCACGAATGCCCTTCAACCATGCTCTAACTTTAAGCATGCCATACCCATTTCCTTCACAGTTCAAGACCAGTTTTGCAAATCCAGCAATTACTAAGCCTCCAGCAGCAACTTTGCAGTAGCTAAACAACCAGCTTTTCAACAGTATATCAAATTGGTTTGGGTTGATTTTTGGATTTTCAAGCATGTATGTCAGTGGGTTTGCCATTTTCCTGCCACAGACAGATTAAATTTCAGTAAAAGATTTAGAAGAATATAATATATGATGAGTGCATGTAGGATTAGCCAAACGAAACAAGGAGTAGAAACGCTTTCAGTGATTGTCAACCAAATTTCAAAGTACTACCTCTGTTCGAACTTTCTGTCAACGTGACAAGCAATTTTGGATGGAGGGAGTAGTAAGTTAGCAATGAAAGAAGAAAGCACATAAGAAGAATTGCATAGAATCAAAGTAGCGAAGATTGAAGAAGAAATTCCATAGCTAGTAGACCTAAAATCAGAATTGCAGATGATGAATACAACTTTGAATAATGATGTAAAAACCTAATAGAAATAGAGGATATGGAATTTAAGGGTTAGTAACCCTGTATATATAGAAGACGGTAAAAGGAGATAAACACAAATCTAGAATTACATATTTCTTGTGCAAAAAGGCAGCAGTCCCTCGCATGAAAAGAAATTATTAGCTTCCGGAATGCAAACAGATTTGGAATGAGATAAAGGGCAAGAGGGTTATTCCGGGAATGCATATATGCCTGCTAAATTGATTAACGGCTTCCAGCATGCAGATAGGTTGAAAGACGTGTGCACGAATCCAGAAAATATAATGGACTCTAGCATTAGGCCTCCTGCTTCGGTTTTCAGCAATCTCAAACAGGCTCTGCTTGACAAGGAAAGAAAGATAATGCGGTACATTTGGTTCAGAAGCTTGGTGCATCAAGATTGTGACAACATGAATGAAGTTCTTACGGATCTAGGTTCTTTTTCTCAATATATGAGGAAAGCTTAATAAATATCAATAAGAGAAACAACTCATATATTAACTCTGCCTTAATGGTTAGGCTGTCTACCTTGAGCATTGCTGTAAGAGATTACAGTTGATCATATATCGAATTCTGGTGTCCATTTTTGTTGCCTAACTTACATTAGCTTAGCCAGGACTGATTCGTCATTTGGGGAATCAATCAAGAGTTGTTTATTTCCAGGGAATCATATGAAACTAAAATATCATCTTATCGTTACTCGATCTTGTATTTAAGGATAGAGAGAGTACTAAATTTAACACAATATATTGTCATATAATTTATGAAGTTGCATATATTCAGCGCGAATAAACAACTTTGAGACAAACATAATCAAGCAAGCAATATCAAAAGACAAAAGCTTTATACTAAATAAGGCAGAGTTCAATTTTAATTTATTACCCAACTAAAAATGTTAAATCACCAAATTAGCAGCTTTAACTGAACATATACTTGTAATAAACTAGAAATCACAAATACTAATCAACATAATCCATAATAAGAACACTTAGATGCTAAAATAACATAGTTAGTTTGTCTCTGATCCTTTTCCACGAATACGAATACCCTTGAACCATTCTTTAACTTGAAACAAGCCATTGCCATTGCCTTCGCGGAAAGAAGCTAGTTTTGCAAATCCAGCAACTACTAAACCTCCAGCAGCAACTTTGCAGTAGCTAAACAACCGGCTTTTCAGCAATATATCAAACTGGTTTGGGTTGATTTTTGGATTCTCAAGCATATACTTCAGTGGGTTCACCATTTTCCTGTCAAAAATAAATTAAACTTGAGAACACAATGAATTTGCAAGAATTTTCTAATCAAAAATTTCACGTAGTAGTAAAATATTACATTCCTACAAATTTGTTGTTGTCATGTTACCTATTCAAATAACGCACTCAACATGACAATGAATTTCGTTTTCGGATTAATAGGAATAGTAATTAATATAAAATATAACATTACCTGAACTTCTAAAAATAATAGTATCACTAAACACTTACGTATGATGATTTAAGAGAAATAGAGTAGATGAAATTGAAGGGTTAGTAAATTTGTTTTTATAGAGGGTCGTAAAAAAAAAAAAAAAACAAGTTAAGGTGACATTTCTTGTGAAAAAAGACAATTGTATCTTGCTTAAAAAGAAATTGCAAGATACCTTTTTTCCCAAGCCAATTTTTTTTTTTTAACCCATCTAACCGTAACCAACTTCATACACATACCATGCATGACCTTAAATACTTTTTTATTTTATAGAGGAATTTTTTTTCTTATTTTTTGTAAAAAATAATTGTACAAGCTTTCTCTTCGTATAACACTGATAATAAATTTATATACTAGTTGCTTTACCTTATATATACCGTGTTCCGTTCATTAATATAGTTTACTTGATACTTATAGTAGAAAAATTGAAAAGACTCAAAACACAGGCTCGATAATGATATACCTTAAGCAACCGTATTGTTGATTTTAGTGGCATTGATTAAAAGAATAAATCAATCTTTGATTTGGGTGATGTCGTGAGTTACCGCATGTTTTGGGGCCTAAAAAAGGCTAGCATTTAAATTTAAAAAAAAATAAAATTTTTTAACAACATGAATATATACAATGGGGCCATGGAGCCAAAATAAGACGCTCGATCTATTTACAAACACTTAAATGGACCTAGTCCACACTAATTTATTATAGACCACTAATATAAGAGACACTATGGTTGTTTTATTAATAAAAAAAGCCACTATATTAAAATAATGGTTATTATGTTGAAATAAAAGTCATTGTGATATTATAAAGGCTATAAGAGATTATTTTATTTTTTTAAAATTTTTTTGTATATTGATCAATATAAATAATAAAGGTTACTATGTTAAAATTAGGGTCATTATGTTTAACATAACGTCGTACTTCAAGTTCGCAATAATATTAAATATCACACAAGTTTTATTAAAGATTACTATGTTAAAAATAAGGTATTATATTAAAATTAGGGTCACTATGTTCCATATAACGTCAGTTGCGCGCGTATAAATCTTGGGTTCACAATAATATTATTATGGACTAGGTCCATAAAAGATTTTTTGCTATATATTATTACCGTGTAATTTCCTTCTTTGCTTCACCTAAATTCCTAGCTAAAACACTACAATAATGGCCGCAATAACTCCATACGTAGATGAATTTCTACCACCTCTTTACATTGGTAATGAAGCTCAACCAAAGGTGGATGGTCTATATTCGCATTTGGGAACTTCGTTTAATAATGTTCTTTTTCTTGATGATGATGATCGCACGGAGTTGTATCAACACAAAGCATCCGATGAAGAGTGACTAAGAAAGAAGAACAGAAGATTGTTGTCGTTGAACAAAGTCAAGAATCGGATGTTGCTAATGATAATTGCTAATGATAACGTATTTAGTTTAATCTTATCAATGACTAAGAGATACTCCTTGTAAAAATAAATAATTAAAATAAAATAAAATAAAAGAGGAGATATAGACTTTATCAAACATATCTGATCAAATAAATAATAACATAGGCCATTATTGAAAATTTGAAACATTGTTTTTACCATAAGTTAGTGAGTATAGTAATACTAAAGCAAAGAAATTACTCCGCACATAATTTCATTCGGATCACTAAATCAAACAGCCAATATATAGTTAAATTAAAGGGATATAAAGTTCTAGTTTTCACATCAAAACCAAGTCAAGGCATATTTTGTTCGCGCTTATGACTAGAAGAGATCACTTCTACACTCTAAATCGGCCCTTCAAAATTAGACTGCTACATTGAAACTACCTAAACATGTCACTTTTACTTATAGCTTGGTACCATAGTACGTACCATCTATCCTGGAAAGAAACCTTAGCAAATAGATAAAGAGGCCATATCTTCCTCCTTTCTTGCTTAACCCTAGCATTATTACGAGCTAATGCCTTGTCGACAATTGGAGTTAACCAGTCCACTTTCAAGCCTACGCGTTGTAGGTCAACCATAGCCGACTTTATGTCATTACCTGTTGAATTCTGAAGACTAATCATGAGCTTTGCCAACAACTCCAATGCACAAGCTCGTATCTTCTTGTTACGGACAGTAGCTTCAGAAATTAGGCAACCTTGTTTAGCCCAAATGGTTTCTAAAGTAGGCAAAAGCTCATCCTTAATATCAACCCCCTTCAAATTTGACAGTTGAAGAGCAATTTATACATGCCTGCAAACATGGGTAGAAGAGGACGGAAATGCAATCAACATGCTGCAATTATCAAATTTACTAAACGTTACTAGCTAGTAGTAAAAGCTTACTAATGGCACTAACGTTAGTGAGTGAAATTTGCGTTGTTGGAGACCTTTTCCGTTGAGAAATCTTGTCCTGCATAAGAATAGTGTGAGATAACTCTTATAAATAGTGTTTGGACAATTATACCCTCTAAAATGTTTATTTACTTAATTGTCCTTATTAATGTTAATTAGCTTTATTTTTTAAACTCTTAAGAATAGTGTGTGGACATTTATGCCCCTAAACATATTTGTTTATGTAATTTCCCTCATTAATGCTACTAGCTAGCAACTAAAGTTGTGATATAAAGCCAAACCGAAAGAGCTTCTTGAATATTACTAGCTATGGCGCACGCATTACGCGTGTTAGCCTCCCTAGTCAAATTAAAAGTTGTCATAGTCTAACAAAATATTATAACAATCAATGTGACCATATATACCATGGAAGTTGGGCATTAAGCTGTCTAAATTTTCAATTATCAAATGCAATAAACATGCTGCAATTATCAAATGTACTAGAAGCTAAGAGCAATTTGTACATACCTAAAGATAAGGGTTCCAACAAATTATTACAAAGGAATTTGACCAGGGATGCAGGTTTAAATTGATAGAGAAGATACAGACTCAATATTAGTGGCTTTACAAAAAATTAGTAACAGTTTACTAGTTGCTCAACTATATGTTAGCTACTCTTTCCTAAATTAACTTAACAATTAAAGACGAAAAATCATCTTGAAAGCCACACAGAATCAATTACGTGACAAGTTACTTTGAGAATCCAAGGGTAAAGTTAAATTATTAGCAGCAAGGTACACTGAATATTAAATTGTATTTGCTGTTGATTTTATAATCACTAAGTACATTTATCATTCTTATTATGATTAGTTTAGGATAGATAAATGTTGTTCATCAACTGTCTGTATCCTTTGTATTGTTATTATGTTTTTAGATTTAAATAAAGTTTAATGGATGATTATTTAAGCTTAAGCAATAATGTTGTTGATCTATTGTATTGTTTATTCTACAATGGACAGTAATAGCAAAGTTTGTAGATGATACTGTAATTTGTTATGTTCGACTTATGTATAAGGCCGTGTTCACTTCACCTCAATTTTGCTGAAATGATATTAATTTTGCTAAACTTAAATTATTTTTAAAGAATTGAAATTAATTTTACTGAAGTGAAATTATTTTTGTTAAACCGAAATTCTTTTTACTGATTTTCTATTATATTTCTTCTTTAAAGTTACAATTTTTTACTGAACTAAAATTACTTTTACTAAACTGGAAAAAAAAAAAATTAGTGAACTGAACTCATTTTTATTGAATTGAAATTATTTTTAATGTATACGAGTTGTAGTGTATTTTAGGAAATTTTTTTTTTTTCAGCGTGCATAATTTGTGTTTTGTTTTGTAAAAGTGATATATTTGGTTGTTGTGTTTTTTGTTTTTAGATGATTATAACATATATCAAGTTAGTAAGTTGAAGCCAAGAGAAGAAAAAAAGGTAGAAGAAATAATGAAGGAGGGAGAGGACGTTGAAATGAAAAGGAAACAGGTGGCAGATATGATATTATTATACACTAATTGTTTACAGTGTATAATAATATCAATTACTATGTTTTGATGTATCAGCTGTCTATCAACGTAACATTTGAAGTGGGTTGATAATAGGAAATCAAGCTATTAATTTAGTTTTAAATTTTGAGTGATGATGATCTAAGCCCTAATAATAGGGGTGGAAGATCTTGTAAATTTCTTTCAATATTATGTAATTCAGATTTCAGCCCAAAAAAAAAAAAAAAAAAAAAAAAAAAAAAAACCAATAACAAAAAAAAAATAAAACAAAAAGTCAATTCCTATTTACCCCCCATTCCACTATCTCCTTTTATCATTCTTCTCAAAATTCTCTCCATCTATTCTTCCTTCTACATTGTCTTGTATCCTCTATCTCATATATCTACCTTCTTGTTTCCACTTCCCCCCACCTTCTAACTCTTATATAATGGATCTTAATTTTTTCTACCTTCTTATCTACTCCCTTTGTTCCTTTTTATTAGCTAAGTTTTGATTTTTGACACTACTCATAAGCTAATAAGAGAATCTTCTAATTTAATCTCAATATATAAGACATAAAATAATCATGTGGGGTTTTATTTAATTTGTCTCAATATGTACTTTATTAGTATTCAATCACTATAATTTTTACAAGTATGCAGTGAAAGATATTAATGATCAAACAAGAGCATTGGAAAACGTGCAAAGGAAAAACGTAACCAATAAATAAGAACAGAGAGAGTATTTTGTTAAATAGTGGTCGTATTTTTCGTCTTGATTCTTGAGATCCACTAATAATTTTGCGTAATTTATATAATAATATGTTTTTTTTTTTTATAAAATAATAAATTACCTTGCAAAATAAACTCTTATAAATGGTGTCGTATTTGTAACCTCGACCCACATCATCTTACCTACTTCTTTGCCATCCTTCTCCTCTAACTTCCCACTCTTCTTTTATGATCTTGCAAACTTCAAAAGCCTTTTTAAATTAGATCCTTTGCCTTCCTTTTACTCCATTTCTTTCTTGTCCTTTATGATTTTGCATATTCCATATAATATTTGATTGTTTATCTACTTGTGATTTTATTTTCCATGAAACAAATCATACTATAATAATGTGTTTTTTTAGTAAAAATACCCAAAATCTTTATCAACTCTGTTCTTCTTCATCAATTTTACTATAGATATGACACCTTAAAAGTGATCTTTTTCTCTCCCTCCCTCCATCCTCT